TGGTGAAGACGACTGAGAAGGATGGTGAAGATGATGAGAAGGATGGTGAAGACGACGAGAAGGATGGTGAAGACGATGAGAAGGGCTGTGAAGATGATGAGAAGGATGGTGAAGATGATGAGAAGGATGGTGACGAAGACTTCAGCAGCACGACGGGGATCCCACTCCATACGACAGCCTCAACGTCCCTTATAGAGGCCTCTTTTATACTGTCAGCGTGGCCTGGCTCCGCCCCCGGCTACGCCCCCTTTCTGGAACCTAACAGCGGGATCTTGGTGTGCCCCTTCTGTGACCTTTCCCCCCTAGATCCCCCTCTGATGTGTCACGTGGCCTGCTGGTGGCAGGGCTGCCGGAAGCCGCAGATCCCCTTCCCTGCCAGCAGCCAGCGCAATGCTGCTACATTACTATTCTATGCCACTGCAATATTATTGATTGAGAGCGGAGACGGATCGATAATGCCTTCATGACTAACGAGACAATAATAGTATTGATTGAGAGTGAGAAGGATGACCTGTCACTAATTAAGAATGAAAAGGATTGATAATATCAAGACCGATGAGCCAATAATATTATCGATTGAGAGGGAGAAGGATCGATAATGTTATTGATTGAGAGCGAGAAGGATGGCAATTTATTGATTGATTGACTGAACTAGTTAATTGATCTTGAAATCATGAGTCGGCATTGACGTTCGTCGTCATCCATCTGAAACAATCGATCCGTATCGTGCACATAACAAGAATTATACCCGGTCATGTGTGTTATCATTGGCCGTTAATAATACACCATAAAGGCGCCACGAATCGATTAAGTGAATCGCATGATCAGTTTAACACGGAGGCTTTCACGACCAATATCATGAATAGATGTTGTTTTGGGTTCGATCGCATAAATATATAAATGTGTCATTAAACCCAACACCACCTGACACAGCCAACTAGGAAGGGTTGTTGTGGTGCCACCGCAGTGGAGCAACTCGGCCGGTGCTACCCGCTCCTCACACCCCCCCCCCCACCAAAGAACGCACGCACGCACGCCCCACTAAACACTCACATGCACCCCTGTAGGGTCTCGAGGAGGGATCACCTGCCTAATACGATGGGTTTTCACCCGAGGACCCCACTAGCAGGGACGTTCCACGGTTTCCCCGGACCAGGAAATTGACTGAGCCCCCCAGACCGGATTACATGGTGGCCCCCCCAAGAAGGGGGCATAGAGCTTTACAGGCCGGCCACGATGAAGCATACACAACACGGGGGGGGGGGGGGGGGGGGGTGGGACCTCAAGGCCAGCACCCAGCGGGAGGGTAAACAGTGGGGTGGGAGGGTAAAGCCCCTAGGCAGATAAGAGTTGATTTAAGTTGGAGGGAGTGAGGGATTATCCCGGGGGTTAAGGGGCTTTGGAGACATAAGGGGGCCGGAGGAGCAGATTGAATCAGAGTTCTTCTGGAGCGGCGGAAGAGACCAGCCGTCCTCAGCATCCGTCCGGCACATGCAGGGTGGAGCTGTAAACGAAAAAGTCCCCAAGGCGAGCATCTTCCCCAGCCCCATCGGGCAGCTGAAGAGGTGAGTAGGTACGGGAAGGGGGGCCAATTTTCAGTCAGCTAGAGCTTGGGGGATAGACGCACTTGCGACGGCTAGGTGATAGGAGGTTAGGCGCGTCCGAAGGGTGCTGGCTGGAGGGGGCCATAAACGGGGGTTCAACTATTCGCTCCGGAAAATAAATCTTAGCACAGACTGACGTTGTGACGCGTGGTGCATCTGTGTGCGTGTGAAGAGCAGGTGAGACAGCGATCGGCGTACGACGGTGTGTGTGTGTGACTATAAATCAGTGTGGGTGTGACGCGCGCGCATATTAAAATATCAACGGTTGCCCGCGCCGGCGCGCGTCCATGCGCGCACCGCGGTGTTAACGGTGAGACACGCGCGAGTGTCACGTAGAGACACTCGCGCGTCGTGTGGGTGAGGGGCCGCGTGAGTGCCGATTAATTTATTAATATCCGAACCGCGTTCGCCTTGTTGAACAGAACGGCTTAGTGGAAATTATTAATTACCCCCCAACACAGCGGCGAGTCAAACACTTACGTAATCCACGCAGTTAGGACGCGTGAGTGGGGGAAAGCACGTGGCGCGTAATCAGCCCCTAGGCGGGGTCGGCCAGCCGCTCGCTCTGTCGGTCTGAGAGGACCCTGGGACGGGGTGGGGGGGGGGGGTCACCCGCTCGGGTGCGGGGGGGACCCCAAAAGACACAAACGCTGAGGGGACGGGGGTGGGGGAGTCAAAGATCACCCCCCCCCCCGTGGTGAGTGAGAGGGAGATCAGCCCCCCACGTAATTGGTAGTGAGGGGGGGGGGCATCAGCCCCCACATTGTCACGTAAACAGAGCGTGGCCAATTCGGCGACGCCTGATGAAGCTGGTTGTAATTACTGGCGAAACGTCGTGCTCGGATTGTTAATGTTGTGGCTTGGCTCTCCAACAACACACCGGTGTTGCTGTACTAGTGACGAATTGGCCACGTTCTGTTTACGTGACATCCCTCACTAGTTGGCTGTGTCGGGTGGTGGTGGCGGGTTTTAAATTTATATATTTACATATGTACGCGATCGAACCCAAAACAACCTCTATTATGGAATCACGTGATCGATTATTAAACGTGATAGGTGGAGAGCGATCGTGCCGTAAATTGGGCAATGAGCGAATTCCGCCGACAACGGAGTTATGAGTCGTTACCGCCTCTCCACGGCAACCCTCACTGAGACATCGCCACGTTATCGATTAATATTCACATTTAAACTACATGGATTATAATTGCGCCAAATATGCAGTATATCACGTGACACATTTAAATGTAACTGACATCACCCCCTCTCCATATTCTCTCTTCCTTCGCTCTCCCCTCCCTTCTGCACCCTCCCCTCCCACCCCTCCCACCCCCCCTCCCACCCCCCTCCCACCCATCCCCTCACCCCCTCCCACACCCCTCCCACCCCTCCCACCCCCTCCCACCCCCTCCCAACCCCCCCTCCCACCCCCCCTCCCACCCCCCCTCCCACCCCCTCCCACCCCTCCCACCCCCCTCCCACCCCCTCCCATCCCCCCCGCACATAAATTATGCTAATACACAAAACGCAAATCACACTCGGTGGCGACGTCACACATGAATTATGTTAATCGAAACAAACCCCGCAAAACCCCTCCCGCCCCACCCAGCGCATAAATATTCTAATTTGTCGGCGGAAGTTGTGTTGAGAAGAAACCACGCCTCTCGGAGAATGCATTATTGTTTGCGGGTAAATTATGTTAATTTGAAGCGCGTAAAATATGTTGATTTTTAGCGCGTAAATTATGTTAGTTTTGAGCGCGTAAATTATGTTAATTTTAAGCGCGTAAATTATGCTGATTAAGGGCGCGCCGGGACTGGCTTCCTGAGTTTGCTCAGAGCGAGTTCGGACCGTGCTGTCTTTAGGGTTTTTGCCTCCTCCGAAGCCGCCTTTGTCTTCCCGAGTCTCTGTTGAAGGTAAGTGCCCGTGTCGACACGCTGGCTGTTTGCACGACTCTCCCCGTGTCTCTGTGTCTCTCTTCCCGTGTCTCTGTCTCTCACTCCCCGTGACTCTCCCCGTGTCTCTGTGTCTCTCTCCCCGTGTCTCTGTCTCTCTCTCCCCGTGTCTCTGTCTCTCTCTCCCCGTGTCTCTGTCTCTCACTCCCCGTGTCTCTGTCTCTCACTCCCCGTGTCTCTGTCTCTCACTCCCCGTGTCTCTGTCTCTCACTCCCCGTGTCTCTGTCTCTCACTCCCCGTGACTCTCCCGTGTCTCTGTCTCTCTCGCCCCGTGTCTCTGTCTCTCTCTCCCCGTGTCTCTGTCTCTCACTCCCCGTGTCTCTGTCTCTCACTCCCCGTGTCTCTGTCTCTCACTCCCCGTGTCTCTGTCTCTCACTCCCCGTGTCTCTGTCTCTCACTCCCGTGTCTCTGTCTCTCACTCCCGTGACTCTCCCCGTGTCTCTGTCTCTCTCTCCCCGTGTCTCTGTCTCTCTCTCCCCGTGTCTCTGTCTCTCTCTCCCCGTGTCTCTGTCTCTCTCTCCCCGTGTCTCTGTCTCTCTCTCCCCGTGTCTCTGTCTCTCTCTCCCCGTGTCTCTGTCTCTCTCTCTCCCCGTGTCTCTGTCTCTCTCTCTCCCCGTGTCTCTGTCTCTCTCTCTCCCCGTGTCTCTGTCTCTCTCTCTCCCCGTGTCTCTGTCTCTCTCTCCCCAATCTCTCCCGCTCTCCCCAAGGTGTGGCTCTCCGTTTCTCAGGTTTCTTTCCGCCAGGTGAGTCCCCCCCCACTCCTCTCGCCCCCCCCCCCACTCCTCTCGCCCCCCCCCACTCCTCTCGCCCCCCCCACTCCTCTCGCCCCCCCCACTCCTCTCGCCCCCCCCACTCCTCTCGCCCCCCCCCACTCCTCTCGCCCCCCCCCACTCCTCTAGCCCCCCCCCACTCCTCTCGCCCCCCCCACTCCTCTAGCCCCCCCCCACTCCTCTCGCCCCCCCCCCACTCGCCCCCCCTCCTCTCGCCCCCCCTCCTCTCGCCCCCCCCCTCCTCTCGCCCCCCCACTCCTCTCGCCCCCCCCACTCCTCTCGGCCCCCCCCACTCCTCTCGGCCCCCCCCACTCCTCTCGCCCCCCCCACTCCTCTCGCCCCCCCCACTCCTCTCGCCCCCCCCACTCCTCTCGCCCACCCCCACTCCTCTCGCCCCCCCCCCACTCCTCTCGCCCCCCCCACTCCTCTCGCCCCCCCCCACTCCTCTCGCCCCCCCCACTCCTCTCGCCCCCCCCACTCCTCTCGCCCCCCCCACTCCTCTCGCCCCCCCCACTCCTCTCGCCCCCCCCACTCCTCTCGCCCCCCCCACTCCTCTCGCCCCCCCCACTCCTCTCGCCCCCCCACTCCTCTCGCCCCCCCCACTCCTCTCGCCCCCCCCACTCCTCTCGGCCCCCCCACTCCTCTCGCCCCCCCCCACTCCTCTCGCCCCCCCCCACTCCTCTCGCCCCCCCCCACTCCTCTCGCCCCCCCCCACTCCTCTCGTCCCCCCCCCACTCTCGGCCCCCCTCACTCTCGCCCCCCCCCCTCTCTCGCCCCCCCACTCTTCTGCATCCCCCCCACTCCTCTGCCCCCCCCCACTCCTCTGCCCCCCCCCACTCCTCTCGCCCCCCCCACTCCTCTCGCCCCCCCACTCCTCTCGCCCCCCCACTCCTCTCGCCCCCCCCACTCCTCTCGCCCCCCCCCACTCCTCTCGCCCCCCCCCACTCCTCTCGCCCCCCCCCACTCCTCTCGCCCCCCCCACTCCTCTCGCCCCCCCCACTCCTCTCGCCCCTCTCCTCTCGCCCCCCCCCCCCACTCCTCTCGCCCCCCCCCACTCCTCTCGGCCCCCCCACTCCTCTCGGCCCCCCCACTCCTCTCGGCCCCCCCACTCCTCTCGGCCCCCCCACTCCTCTCGCCCCCCCCACTCCTCTCGCCCCCTCTCCTCTCGCCCCCCCTCCTCTCGCCCCCCCCCACTCCTCTCGGCCCCCCCACTCCTCTCGCCCCCCTCCTCTCGCCCCCCCCCACTCCTCTCGCCCCCCCCCCCACTCCTCTCGCCCCCCCCCACTCCTCTCGGCCCCCCCACTCCTCGCCCCCCCCACTCCTCTCGCCCCCCCCCCCAATCTCGGCCCCCCACCACTCTCGCCCCCCCCACCACTCTCGCCCCCCCCACTCCTCTCGGCCCCCCACTCCACTCGCCCCCCCCCACTCTCGGCCCCCCTCACTCTCGGCCCCCCCACTCTCGCCCCCCCCCACTCCTCTCGCCCCCCCCACTCCTCTCGCCCCCCCCCCACTCCTCTCGCCCCCCCCCACTCCTCTCGACCCCCCCCACTCCTCTCGCCCCCCCCACTCCTCTCGCCCTCCCCCACTCCTCTCGCCCCCCCCCACTCCTCTCGCCACCCCCCACTCCTCTCGCCCCCCCCCCACTCCTCTCGCCCCCCCCACTCCTCTCGCCCCCCCCCCACCCCTCTCGCCCCCCCCACTCCTCTCGCCCCCCCACCCCTCTCGCCCCCCCCCACTCCTCTCGCCCCCCCCACTCCTCTCGCCCCCCCCCACACTCCTCTCGCCCCCCCACACTCCTCTCGCCCCCCCCCCCCCCACTCCTCTCGCCCCCCCCACTCCTCTCGCCTCCCCCCCACTCCTCTCGCCCCCCCCCACACTCCTCTCGCCCCCCCCCACACTCCTCTCGCCCCCCCCCACACTCCTCTCGCCCCCCCCCACACTCGTCTCGCCCTTCTCATTCACTCACCCAGCCACCTACTCGCTCACCCGCTCGCCCACTCACTCACTCACCTGGTCATCCACTCCCGCAACCACTCGCTCGCTCGTTCACCCACTCGCTCGCCCACTCACTCACCCACTCGCTCGCCCACTCACTCACCCACTCGCTCGCCCACTCACTCACCTGGTCATCCACTCCCGTAACCACTCGCTCGCTCGTTCACTCACCCAGCCACCTACTCGCTCACCGACTCGCTCACTCACCTGGTCATCCACTCCCGTAACCGCTCGCTTGTTCACTCACCCAGCCACCTACTCGCTCACCGACTCGCTCACTCACCTGGTCATCCACTCCCGCAACCACTCGCTCGCTCGTTCACCCACTCGCTCGCCCACTCACTCACCTGGTCATCCACTCCCGTAACCACTCGCTCGCTCGTTCACCCACTCGCTCGCCCACTCACTCACCCACTCGCTCGCCCACTCACTCACTTGGTCATCCACTCCCGTAACCACTCGCTCGCTCGTTCACTCACCCAGCCACCTACTCGCTCACCCACTCACTCACCCACTCAATCGACCCCTCGCTCACCCACTCAGGGGTCGGAGTGTAGCAGCGGTCGGAGTGTAGCAGCGGTCGGCGCTGCGCTACGAATCCCGCAGACACCCGAATTGAATTCCCGCTCACGGCCACCAACGCCGTGAGCGAGGTGTGTAGTAAACATCGCCCCTGGGGAAACAAAGGCGGCCCGAGCGTGGTGATGGCCACCCACCCCCTCGTGTGGCGTGCCCGGCCTTCATAGGTGCTGCTTGCTAACAGCACGTGCCCCTACAGTCTGTTAAAGGCTACATGGGGGATCATTGTCTGCGTGGTGTGTGTGGTACATAGGCGCTGCTGCTACTACTCACTTTGACAGAACTTGCCCGTAGAGCCCTGCTAGAGGCTACCTAGGGTAGCTCTGTGTGGTGTGTGTGGTACATAGGCACCGCTACTATAGAAGGTCGTGGTATACGGAAGCTCGTGGGTTCGATCCCGGACCCTGACGATGCCTGCCGCTGATTATTTTGAGTTTCGTTTTTCTCTCGCTGTGGTCTGGCTTTCTGTGGGTTTATGTAGGTCTCTGTAGGTCTGGCTTTCTGTGGGTCTCTGTAGGTCTGGCTTACTGTGGGTCTCTGTAGGTATGGCTTTCTGTGGGTCTCTCTGTAGGTCTGGCTTTCTGTGGGTTTATGTGGGTCTTTGTGGGTCTGGCTTGCTGTGGGTTTCTGTGGGTCTCTGTGGGTCTCTGTAGGTCCGGCTTTCTGTGGGTTTATGTGGGTCTCTGTAGGTGTGGCTTTCTGTGGGTTTATGGGGGTCTCCTGTGGGTCTCTGTAGGTCTGGCTTTCTGTGGGTTTATGTGGGTCTCTGTAGGTGTGGCTTTCTGTGGGTTTATGTGGGTCTCTGTGGGTCTGGCTTTATGTGGATCTCTGTGGGACTCTGAATCTGTACAACCACGCGTTTTATAATATTTGGTTGCTATACATTTTCCCGTGGTGGTGATGATGATGAACCACTTCGTTGAGCTTTCATTTGTGCTGGCCAGGTCACGTGTCTGAACAAAGAGCTGCGTCGCTCAGTGGGGGCCTGACACCTGGTAAAATATTAATAGCTTAGTTTCAGTGTGGGTCTCTCTGTGGGCGTCGATGGGCATTTAATTATTTACTGACGTTTTATCCAGATGGGTGGTGGCTGGGTTGAGTGGGTGGCTTGGTGAGTGAGTGGGTGTGTGAGTGGGTGGGGTTAGTAAGTTGGTGAGTGAGTTGGTGGGTGGGTTGATTGGTGGGTGGGGTTCGTGAATTAGTGAGTGAATGGGTGGTGTGGTTTAGAAGGTTGGTGCGTTCGTGGCTGGGTGGCTGAATTGGTGAGTGGATGAGCGCGCTGGGATGTGGGTTAGTGGATGGGTTGGAATGTAGGTGGGGTGGGGTTTAGAGGGTACGTGAGTGGATGGGTGAGCGGGTGCGTTTGTGATTGGGTGGGTGAGGTGAACAGGTGGGTGCGTTTGGGAATGGGTGGGTGAATGGGTGAGTTTGCGAAGTGGACTAATGGATGAGTGAACAAGTGGGTGGGTGGATGAGTGAACAGGTGGGTCGGTGGGTGAGTGAACAGGTGGGTGGGTGGGTGAGTGAACGGGTGGGTGGGTGAGTGAACGGGTGGGTGGGTGAGTGAACGGGTGGGTGGGTGAGTGAACGGGTGGGTGGGTGAGTGAACGGGTGGGT